GTCATACTTTGTTGTTATAACGACTTTTACGTCACGCGAAATCTTGTGAGACATTATTTCTCTGAATACGCCCTTCAGAATTTATTTTAACTAAGTATGTACGATGTATAAATTCCGTTTCTTCGGCAACACTTAAAGTGCGACATAAAATGTTGTCTCCAAAAGACTTCTTTAGAAAGTCCTTAAGCTAAATTCACAATCAGAGAATATTAAGTTAAAAAGTCTAGCCGTGGGAATGGGGTCACTGCGGGCGGACAAACCCCTGAAAAGTTACACTGAATGCAATGATAGTGTCTGCATCGTTTGAATTACAAAAATGGAGATAATCCCAGACCCTACTTTGTCGATAAAACTGTCTGATTGAATTAGATATAATTTATAAAAATAGCAGTTCTTTTGGGTCAAACTTAATGGAAACTGTTAGACTTTGTCTGGAAATCTTCTGGACATTAAATGGATGGCAGGAATATCGAAATATCCGAACGTGTCACCAAACTAGGTCCACAGATAAAGAAGCCGTGAAGTGTATTCGGTTCGGTAGATTTCTGAATAAAAGCGAGTAATATTATTTCGAGTTCAGTATATGTTAAGAAATACAAATTAGAATTCTAAAAGTGACGTACATATTTGAAAAGCCAAAGCAATTTCGCAAAATACAATACGAATTAATATTTTTAAGTTTGTCATTAAACAGACTACAAGTACTGTTGAACTCGCTGCCAATCTTTCTATGGACAAATTTTCTTTGACATATTATAGAAGCGAGTATGTTTAACTACAGCTAGTGTTTGTAATGGCTTGAGATAGGCTTTTGTAATACACTCATCCTTCGTGATCACTCACCATTTCTATCGCATTATGAAAATTAGATGTTTTTATCCCAAACAACTGACCTGAACCAAATTAAATTACTGTTAGGGCGAACTTGCCAGCGATTAGGATAATTATTATCAAGGGCGAATTTTGTTTACTTTATTCACTGAAACTATATTATTTTTCTTTAACACATATACGTAGTAGTGTTAGTGATATATTAAAATAAAATAAATACAATACGAAGACATAAAAAAAATCCGAACTTTTGATCTCGGAATCCAAGTCTGAAAATAATGATTTTAATGCCTCACGTTCATGCACCCCAAAAAGAAGTCAATTTATACGAGAAAGCATTTGAAATACAGTTTTATTCTCATTTAATTTTGTTTCAGAACTTGATTTAAGACACGTCCTCATATTTCGTCCAAAATTATAATTCCAGCGGTGAATAGTTCACCTTATCGTACTATTAAGTAGATTTATAATGCTTCTACTGAACACGAGTAAAATAAAAGGGAAATATTATTACAATTTATTATAAGTTATCTCGCGAGACGCAAACACATAAATTATTGTTTATCGTCTAGTTTATAGCGCATTGTGTTTAAACTTAAGAAAAATACGAAACGGGGATTTTTATTCATGTTTCAGTTTTAAACTGAATCCTCGAAGCGGATGCGGAAGCAGGCTTCTTAAAATAACCGTGTAGGCTGAGAGCTACAATGAACGACCTTTAATTCAATAAAAAGCGATCATTTTTACGTTTACTTGAACTTAAACTTCTCTATCGTAGGTAGGTTTTTAAGTTAAACGATCTTAGTTAAGGAGCGTTAAGAAACACAATTAATAGTGGCGCCAATTTTGCGTTTTAAAAAGCATAATTGTGTATTATACATATCGTATTTAAATTTTAGTGGATTTCCGAATATACAACACTGTTATTTGGCTATCTGCGCAATTATTGATGCCAATATCCTTAATATTATTTTGTCCATATTGAATGGCAAAATAGCCGGGCCTAAATCTACTTAGTAAACCACGCATTTAATATTATTTTAAAAAGGTCTCTTACATATTTGACTTGATATAAGCTTTAACCTTTAAAAATATAAGAACAATCGGGTTAGGGATGCACAATACCTATATGCCCAAGATGTCTTTCTTCCACTGTTCATCTCTTAGACTATTAACTAGAGCGCTCTCTTTTACATGCAAGAATTCATTTACAAAGTGCATTACATCTCCATACAAGTTATACATAATGCTGCGTTTAACTCGTCTCGCAAGTTTTCTTTTAACTTCCAGGTCACATCCTTTAAACTTAAGCGCTAAATCTAAGTTATATAACGTTATGTAGACTTCTGTTGAATTCTTTAAAAGGCTTTTGTAATTCTTGGATAAATTTTGCTTTTGTGTAAATTCGTAATATATATTTTGTATGACTACACAGAGTATATATATATATGTGTGTACAATAGATAGTAAATAAAAATTGTAACGGTCTATACTGTCATACCAAGTAGATACTTATGATTAAATAAAACTTTTAGGAAGTCGAAGAACAATTAACAGATAATAAATTGACTTTTAAAAATCACTTATTACATTTTACGCAATATAATATATTTATTTCAATAACTCACGTTAAATATTACTATAAACACTACATTGACTTGGACGACACTCGAACTCACATCATCTCCAATTCGGTTTTCGCCAGGGATTAATAAAAAGTCTTTAACAGCTTATCGCAACCCCGAACTACCTCTCGTAAAATTACTGGCTTCATACAGTCGTGGAATATAATATGAACCTAGAAATGCAACTACCAACGGTTCCGTGAGGATTTCTTCGTTAAATTGAAATTTAATATTATCAGTATTTGATAGAATAAAACACATTTAATTAAATAAGTTGTGACTTTGAAAATTTGAGCTTTTTATTACTTTTTCATGTTATTGCACATGAAGGCAGTATATAATTTAAAAATCGTGCCGTTGCTCTACCATCTAGACTCGGTAGCTCAATTGGTAGAGCAACAGCACGGAACGCTTACGATGCCGGTTCAAGTCGTGCCCGAGTCGAAAATTTGTCGATTTTAAAATTATAAATTTGAGTTTAAAAAAAACTGCCAAATGATGAATGAATCCTAAACATCCTAAAAAAACTTAGATAGTGTAGACTAGTACAGGCAAATATTAATCAAAACAAGTCTAATGATAGATAAAAAATTAAGAAAATATTATTATTTAAGTTACTTAAAATTGAACCCTAAAAAGTAACGCAGCCGCGAGGCGTGATAATTTTAATTAAAAATTGAAAATGTGGCGCACACTTTTCCGACTTAATTCCAAAGTCGTTGAATCCTCGAAAACATTAATATATATTTGAAAATGGCTGCAAAACTCATTCGCGAGCGCGGTAGTTTGAGTATGTGGAAATTTAATATGAAAATTATATATTCGCATTTCCGTTTGATGTTCGCGCCTTTTTCATGTCGCGTTGTTATGTAGGTCGGCATATATGTACATACGAAAATTGCATAAGTCTTACGCTATATAATTATTAAAATATAATTTATTATTTATTACGAGACACGAAATATTTTTATTATTATGTAATTTTCAATACATCTATGATATTTTGCCTGATATTAATAATAATCAGGCACGCACTAAGGGTTTACTTGATGGAAGGTGAAACAGCCATCCTGCTGATGATGCTATTACCTTCTATTCTAAAGTAACTAAGTCGAGAAAGGACAAATACTAACTTTTCATTCCTCGTTGCAAAACTATGAACTGACAACATTTTCAGTCTCTAATGAATAAAATAAGTTGAAATCTCTTCGAAACACGGTTACGGTACGAGCTAGGTAATTTCAGTTTAGTTTAGTTCAATAAAGGAAAAGTTGTGTAGTTGAGTGGAACTTCCGGACGAATACACATGATAGATCGCTTTGTGCTCTGGCAACACTATGTAAAGTCTTGAATACCTTTATAATATGTTGAGGGATTGTCTGCCTCCATCGCGCAATTGTTAAGAACACGATAAAATTCTTCTGTCGGGCAGGCCACAGAACTTTGATCAACTACTTAGTAAATATGATTGACCAGTAAAACAGACACACACCTGTGCTCGTTTCATTCCACAGTAGAGGCATACGATATTTAATTTTTGATGTAACACTTATAGTAGGTGGCTTAGGACAGACTATTTTGCTCGTGAGAGGGCAGGTCAAAACATATTTGATATTTAATTATAAGACAAGTATTTTTTTCAAGATCATAACTACATTAAGTATTCTATTATAAAAAAAAAAAATGTCATTAACGAACGCCTCTGTAGCTAAATGGTTAAGCGCGAGAGGTCCTGAGTTCGAATCCCGGGAAAATAGCAAATTGTTTTGGTCGGGCAGGGCACAGAGGTTGATAACAACTTGCCTGTAAAAAACACCGATTAGTGAAACGGACACAGAAATGTTCGCCCTATGCCCCACGAGGGGAAACGGAGTTTCACACTTTCATTAACGTGGTAATGTGTTTGGTTAGTTAATTGTTTATATTATTATTTTTGCATAGTTAATGTTAGGTAGGTTTATATCTGTGTTAGCGACAGTATATTAATTTAATTACAGATGACGATTTTACTGATATAAGCTACATGTACTTACAATAACTCTAAATTCAACTTTAACGATTGTCATGAGATGTTATATTATATGACGCTGTTAAAAGTAATGATACCCGATCATTACTTTTAATCATTATATGCTAAAGAGGTTTATGTAATGATTCCAGTAGTTAACATTACTTTTCTATTATTATTTATCTATCCCACGAAATTAATGTAAAAAATTACACATTGGCAGGCAACGAGGCAAACCTGTTTTCAACTTAGTGCACACTAAATAAAACACTTTAAACGGTTTAATGTTCAAAATATGTAAATTACCCTATTTTAAGTACAATCTTCTTTCGTTTGACAAATGCATTCCAGCCATCAAGTATTTCTCGATTTATACTGTTTAAAAGTAATTTACCTAAGATCTACTTGTAATTGTTTTAAACGGAAGATTCTTATTGCAACATGTTAGTGATGTGTGTTTTAGATATCAAATAAACTCCTGTATAAAGAAAAGAACCTGCATATAAAAATAAACAAACCAAAATACTCAATTTTATTTAAAGTAGGGTAAAAGAGTTCTGAAATAAGGTAAAAGTCCTAAATAAACAAGAGAATTCCCTTACAAAGCTTCCGCGGCGCGTGTACAGTTGATAACATTGTATTGCGCAGATATGTAAATTTTTGTTTTAAATTTTTACATTCATGCCGATACTTTGAAGTTGAAATACGTTTCGAACAATATATTTGGGCTTTTATCGCTTTGCAGAAAGCCTTGTGTTAATATTTTAAAAGGATTAATGAAGCCTTGGCTACACATTCCTTCAGTTACATTTATTATTTTGATAACATGATCAACTCTAACATTACGAGTATTTACTATAGCTGGTCTTAGTATAGGGCGTATATAACAATAACTAGACTCTTGTTTTTTTATAATTAGTTTTTTTTAATGATAGAAACTGTAAAGATCAGTGACCAACACACCACCTCCTTTAGCGATTGGATTGGGCCTTACAATTTTGTAATCATTCCTACAGCCATAATCGCAAATATACATAATCTTATCACAGTTCCTATGCGCGGTAATTTATGGGTGATCTCTGGCTTATAGACTTACCTGGTACTTCTTTATGGATTCCATCTGCTCTTTGGTGACGTCATGCGCCGGTGGCCTGGGTGGGGCATCCCTCGGGACCTCACGGGGAGGCACCGCTGGTGCGATACCCTTCGCCGTTCCATTCATCTGCTGTTTTGAAAATATAACGTTATTTTTTTAATTCGTAAGGAAAAAGAACTCCGGATTTATTTTAAGAAGTTTCGTCTACACTGCCTTGCGTGGTCACTAGGGTCTTGGCAAGTAAGCTAAGCATCAAGTAAAACAGTATTTAGTTTTTACTACCAATCGAGATCGAAATAAGATAAGAACTCCACTAAAAATGGAATTTATTAACTAGAGTTGTTTGTGTTTATTCCTTCTTAAGGACTTGAAGACTATAGAATAAAACTTATTTATGTAATAGATAAAACTAAACCATGCAGTTAATTCCCAGATAGTTCCTGAAATGCACAAAAACTATTATAAGTTAGCTATCGTAGACGCAATTAAAATAATAGTTATAGCATCCATCGGATGTACAAATAAATAACTCTACTATATTATGTATAAATAGTTTGTACATATTTCCCATTCTAAAACTAATACATGATGTGTACATCTACACCAAATTGTACATTTTATACACATTATTTTCATCCATACTTCAGTTACTATATAACGCAGCAAGATAATTCTAATATGTGACATTTTATAGAATCGTTTTTTAATAAACATGCACCCAAGATTAGTATAAACACCCATAATCAAGAATACGAGTAAATAATTAAAAATAATAACTTTTAACGTCATTGCAAAATTGTATAAAGCGCCATCTATGCTCAACTTTAAACAACACAAAAACGAAACATAGCTACAAAGAGGTAAACACGTAGCTGAACAGAAGTAACCGTTGATGGCCTCTTAATATAATAAACACCAAAAAAGAAGATTAACAATAATAGAAAGAGCGTATTCGTGCAACAGTGTAGATGATAATGAGATGATATGAGAAAGCTGGTTTAGTAAAAAACAACAAAATGATTGGAATTACCCGCGGTGATACAAATATTGTTTTAAATGTCTGTTACTGGCATTGTATTTGAATAAAACAAGCTTAAAATATGGTGTCCAAAACACTTCTTAATATGGTAAAAAAACAAAAGATCTAAACTTCTTCGGGATTTTTGTGTGTTAGTGTTATGGGAGTTTTTTTTTGTTACTTACACTTGGTTCCAGATTTTCTATTTCGTTATATTATTATCTTCTTCTATATTCTTTTTATTCTTTATATTAAATTAAATAAATACCTAAATATGCTACATGATGAATGAGAATCCATTAAATGTATGGTTCAAGAAAATAAACAAATAATACATTTTGCGTAGTTAGTACTGAAATTTCCATTTTGTATCCAAATATGATTTCCACAAAAATTATTTACACACCCTAAACGAGACACATATTGAGGAAAGCCTACTATTTCTTTATCTTAAACCACGCCCTGTTAGTTATATATGAAAGCTCATATTATAATTTTAAATGTTAGTGAAAACAATGATTGGCTCTAGAACTGAAAGCGAAAGTAGATTCAAAAAGCGTATAATTTATCTTGCTTATTTATGATAATTATATTAAGCAATTATTGTATAATATCTCTAGATTGTTACATTTGGTCAAATAATTAGAAGTTACGTTAGTCATTGGATTTCTGAATATGCAAAGCCGAAAAATGTCGACAGAACATGCTTAGATGTTCCTGCTGAGGTATTTCACATTGCCTCAAGTGAACCAAATGCTCGTCTGTCCTCTATCATAAAAAAAATGTTTACTACGCAGAGTAATGGTCCTTAAAAAATATTTAGTGGTCCTTCATACTAATTTTAGAATTTTCCAATCATTGGTAATAATAAAAAAACTTTCAGAAGCTTCAATAAAGTTCTAGAGCCAATTATTTAACGATAGACTATTATTACCCAAACCTTGCACCAAACCCATCCCGTATGGCCACCACCAATGAAAGTGCAGTGCGTTACCTGAAACACTACGCTCTTTCTATCCACACCAGGTGGATATTTTGGCGTCGTTTTCACGATCTGGACAAAACTGTCCGGCACATCGACCGCTACCTCCCTCCCTAGCAAGACGGGTGTCGTATCGAACCCGGGGGGTAACTTATACGACGCGTATACTGCTTCTCTGATCAGAACGGAATCCGTCCTCGCCGAATAGGTCACGCCTTCTTTGCAATCTATTAGTGAGTCTTCACCGTTTGATATTAGCAGTATTTTATGGTCGCTCAAATTGTGGGTGGTGTTAGAGGCCACTGACTCCGATCTATCTGATAGCAGGTCGCATTTTGTCGTCTCGGATGAACCCTTGCTCTGCTTACTACCGAAGCTTATGGAATCTGAATTCTGAGGTAGAGATAGTAGTTCTATCGTGTTCTTGAAGGAACCGGATCCGTCAGAACTTGGCCCCGAAATGTTTATACTCTGGAGGACGGTGCTCTGCTTGCTGCCGAATGAAGTACCCGACCCCCCGGACGAGAGAAGCGGCTCTTCGTCTCTGGTGCGGGCGCGTACCTGTGGCGGCCTAGGTGGAGGATATCGTGGTGGCGTCTTATTTCTCGCGATGAAACTGTCCGGCACGTCCACCGCCATCTCGCGGTGTGGTCCTGGAATTAAACGGTATTTAATAAGTATAATAACTGAAAAACAGTAAAAAAAAAGTAGACTTTTTAAATATCTGCTTTGATGAACAACGGCAACGAGCCAATAGAAATAAAGTTTGTCAATGTCATTATTGTAAATCTTATCGATAAAAAACCTTTTTCATATTCCCAAACAACACGAGAAACCCGGTTTTCGTGGTAGACCAATTAAACGTAACCTACATTTAAAGAGCACCATTTGTTTCGTTAAACGAATAAACTTGAATTAGTAAGAAAACGTAAGAATACCGCGAGCGTTTTTGTTTCCTCGAAGGTCGGCCTAACCACGACGTCAATTTATCAAATTATTTCACGGCATTTACTTTGACTCAATGTCAGCGAAAATAATTATCTATTTGCTTAGCTTCCTTTCGCGACGTAATTGTGTTCTGGGTTTGAATATTTTCAACGTAAATAATATTTAATCTACACAGACTAGAGACACACGTTTACTAGCTGGCTGATATTTGGATTTCATGATGATATTCTTCAAAGACAACTTTTGCCTGTGCCCTCGAAATTTTAACAAGAATCGGAATATAATAGCCAATATTTGTTGCAAAGAAATCCACGATTTTATAGGCGGTTTCAAGTTTTTTCCCTGTCTTATTCGGATGTGTCTGCAGCTAGACTTACTGTGCCCAGACCTATGTCGTTTAACTGCAACTTATTAATATGATAAAATCCTTTCTCTTATTTAATCACATACAATATCTGTCAACGTCTAACATACAAACACAAGATATATACATACCGGTGTCTGAAGAAAGCGATAGCATAGTGAGCATATCTGGTCCGTCATCCGGTGGCGGTCGCTTCTCCTCCTCTGCCCCCACCACTATTATACTGGAGCCAGAACGACGTCGCGGCCTGAAACGCACAAACAAAACATTATACTCTATTGTCTACAGATAATAATCTCTTATATTTATAATATGAGTTTTCAGTGATGGTACCTGAAATAGTTTGTTCATTTATAATTTTATATCTCCGTTTTCGTATTCAAATTATTGTGTAAACTGTTTTGTTCTACTATTAACACCATATTTAAAACAAGCTGTGTCAGCGACTTTGTCCGAGTAGAATTGTAATTTTGGGCATCTCTTTCTAAATTTTAGTTAATTTAGTATAATTTAGAAAATTTCATCATAATATAGTCGCGGACTTTTTAAAATCATTTAAAAGGGACACGAAGGGGTTCTTTCATACATTTTTGGGCATCTTGAACCGTTTTTGGGGTGTAAGCAACGGAAACCGACAAAGATAAATAATTTTCGCCGTTTTCTTCTACATTTCCCGCGCGACATTTTATATCCTATAGCCTTCACGATAAATACTCTTACTAAACCAGATTTCTCAATTCGCACCAGTTCTGGAGATTAGCGCGTTCAAACAAACAACTCTTCATAGAATTAGGTATTTTAATTCTTAATGAGAATAGTTCAACAATTCGAAATCAATTGTTCTTTAGATAAAGATCTAAGGATGACCAAGGCAGCTAAAAGGTAGCAGAGTTCCTTTTCTTTGATGTAAAGCCGGTAGCGACACAGTGCGGCAATTAGTATTAAAAATCTCCTGTCCATAGACAATTCTACATTTTGCTTTGAAAAACTAAAAGGCTGGTAATTAGCAAGGGGAATATAGCTATTATAACAATGAGTTTCGAATTAAAAAAAATATATATAATAGTTTCTTAATTAATCTCGGAGCTGTATCGTGGGAAAATCTCGTCGTTGATGACACTGGAATTATTGTATTTGCTAGACTATGATTCTTTGTATAACGAATCTTGTTATCCAGTGATCGTGCTTAACCTTCTACATGACTGTGCTATACTACACCAGATTAATGTATTATTTAAGTAGGTATTTCGTAGTTGTAGACAGGATAAATCAACTAAATTTACGCGCGTTTCTTTGAAACTGAATTAAAATTAAGGTTTCCGCGTGTAATACACGTTAAAATAAAACGGTTTAAAACGCGATATAAATTAAGTTATGTATGATTTATTTTATCGGATGCTTTGAAGCAGCGTGGTCATGTTGATAATCTTTAAGATACTTTTAAGAACTACCACAACAAAATATATAATTTGTGTTAATGCGCTTTTAAACTCTCATCTCATGATCCCATGCAACTTTAAATCATATTTTTTCGAATAGGTATTTGATTTTAATGTGCACTACTTACTACAGTGTAAATTACTACATACTAAGTAGCTCAGTATTAGACATTATCAACATCTCATTTGTAGCCAGGCACACTCAAAGAGATGTTCCAAGGTTAGTAACAGGCGCCCGAACCGAATCAACCACGCGTTAAGTCACGCAGTGTGCACACCGCTTTATGTAACGGATTTTGAATTTAAAATATTTTGTTTTATTCCTTTGTGGTTGTATATGCAACTGTTACGTAAGAACGGCCACACATTAAATAATAACAATGATAAGTGAGATATAGCTTATTGAAAAAATATTTAATTATTGTATATTTACTGTACATGATATAGCATAATATCCTCTGCATCATCACTGATCTTAAAACTTTTAATTAGGATGGGCTGTCGACCACTTTTGCTCTGAACTTTTCGCACAACGAGCCTTTTAAATTTTGCGAGCAATCTCTCGAGCTCACTGCTTATAACTGTCAGAACGAACGCAACATAATATAACAGAGATAGGAAGCAACATATCCCAAAATCAAGATTTCACCAAAACGCAAGCTGGATTCGCAAAACTCGCCTGGCTCGAGTATTGTCAAACGAGGCGCATGATTACAGTCTAATACGAGGCTGGCTTACGTTTATTGCTACCCGGTGGCTCCGGGGAAGCAATGGAACGAATACAGCGAATTATAAGTCACGAGCGGAAGCGAATTTAACACTAAATACACATCCATACCAGTTTATACCACAATAAGCGCGAGTAAATGAATTAATATAATTAAATAAATTATAGAGATATAAGGCATTATATTGTTTAAAAAATCCTTCACCACGGTACTGAACTTTTAAATACCGAAAATAATTCAAATTTATCGTTGTATCAGAACTTTAAGCCTACAAAAATATACGTGAAGTATTGTAAATGTTTCATAATAAAAAACACTCGATATTTTTTGTTGATGTGTATAAAACAAACAACAAATGGATTATGATTGTTCTATTGCACTTACATAGTTTTTTAACATAACTATATATATATATATATATATATATATATATTATAATATCAATTATTAAACGCTAACGCGCATAACTTGCGTAGTTAATTTCCATGCGGAGTATTCCAATTTTGGTACCGCATGTAAGTACGTAAAATCGTAGCTAGGGACACCAGACTTTACGAATTCAGAGACCTAGCTTTCTAAATAAAAATGTGGAATTGAGAAATAATCATCTTATGAAATAAAATAAAGCGAACATTTCAATTTAAATTAGATTTAAGCCAGAAATTACTTTAAATTGTTTCATATTATTTAACTTTCCCCTCATCTAACAGTTATAATTATAAAATTTCAGTTAATATTCGAAACAACAGTTTGTAAATAGTCGTTCTTCATATTATCAAACTCTAATGAAATGCGTGGCCACTTTAGCTAACGATAATAATGATGGGAGGCTTAAGATCGGTGGAACGCTCATTTGTTGTGAAACAGAATGTAATAGAAGGATCCTGCGATATTTTGTAAGAATCGTATTAAGTTAGAATACCGCTGACTACGTAAAACAAATTTATATCTGTCAATTTTGAGAAATTTCAATAGAAAAAAGATTCTTTAGGGACTAAACAAAAACGTGTTAAAAAAATTACACATTTGTTATAATATTCACGTTTTAAGTAGACTTTTAAATTAAATAGAAATAACACTATAAGCTTCATCTACCCTAAAATGTGAAAGAAAGTAAAAAGGTGAAATCCCGTTACTCCCCTGTGAGTCTCCGTTCCACTGTACAATTTTAATTACGGCAAGTAAATGCTCTGTGCCTAGCCCGACCGAAGCAGTCTATTGTTTTCCTAGGATTCGAATACAGGGCCCCTCGCGCTTAACACAATGGTAACACGTTTAACCACAGAACACGCGACAGTGAAGGGGATATATTTTTGAACCGCTAATTAAAAAACAAACTACTGCCTTGCAGTTCGAAGTAAACGTACCGACACCGCCAAAAAATAATTAGACATTATCAATTTTGAATAGCGTAATAAATTAATTTGTCCCTCATACACTCCGTGTAATAAAGCGTTTTAAAATCCTCCTCCCCCCCATAGGCTTATAAATAGCCGATTCATCGCTCGACTGAACCGCGGATGTATGACACAAAAGCCAACAAAATGGGTCAGGTACCTGTTCCACAACAGGTAGCATTGTCAGGCGTACTTCCGACGAGTTAGGATGTTGGATTAGATTTTTTACGTAGTGGAAATTAATAGTATTTGAGTAGAGATAAAACTTTAATCATATTTAGAAAGTCAAAAATTTTTATTCATGTAGGTAACTATGTACACTTATGAAGGTCATAAAATTAAATACTCTAACTTTACATATACTACCAGTTCTCAAATCAAGGGCGTAGAACGAACGAGAAGGGCTGGCAATAAACTCGCCGTCACTGCTTGTATCGCCAAATATCAATTTTCATTCTTCGCGTACTTTGAGTGCATTAACATAACTTTATTATGGAATTCACATGGCATATCTGCAAAGTGTCTAATTTGCATAATCATTAGGTATTTTACAGAAACATGTTTTACAACGTATAATCAAATACGAGTTATCTATTCTGTGACATATGTTTACAGTGCATTACTAACACTAGTTTTAGATTTAAAATCTAAAATAAATTCGACTCGGGCAGGATTTCAACCGGCATCGTCAACGTTCCGTGCTGTTGTTCTATACATACACCTCAAGCAAATGTGCTTGCCAATTTTTTGTTACTGTATATTGAATTTACACCTGTATTTTTTTTTCAACAATTTTGTATATAAATTTTAAATTACATCGAATTTGTTACGAAAATCTGTGTTTGCTAGAGAGTTAGCGGCTAGCGGGTGTTGTCGTGCATTTTATGAACGCAGATTTACGCATCGTCGTCATCGTCTCATAGTGATAATACTAGCAAACTGAAAATAGACTTTTCTCGAAATTATAGCAGGCCGGTGTTCTCCACGGTGTTTTTCTTCACCAAAGAGCATTTGTTAGTATGTACATACTAATATCAACTTTTGTGAAAGACCTACCTACCATATACCAAAAGACCACCAATACTCTTAGATTTCAACGGTTCATATCCTACTAGGGTTCAACTTAAAAGGTTCAACTAACCTAACCAAATTCATTAAAATCGGTTACGTAGGTAAACGCTACAAAAATCCTACTTCCCATCTATCTTGCCACTTGCAGAATTTAACTAACAGTGGTAATCCTACTATATCGGTGTCTACTAGCTAACTTTAGCTAGTGCCAACGTCATACACCAGCTATTGTATTGAACTATATTGAATAATGAACAGACGTTTCCGAACTAGGCTTATGTGTTCGCGAGCGCTTTTGTTACCATTGTGAGCAACTGTTGACATTAGCACAATCTAGCTGAACGATGGCAGTAGACCCACTTTCACTCAATTAAAATTAACACGGTGGAAGCGAGCTAATACTGGCTGTTATTTATTTATTAACTCTTTATTGCACAAATAATAATAATGATACAGAATAAAAACGTATATACTAGAATGGACCTAACCAGCGATCTCTTCCATGCAAACTAAAGTTAAGAAAAAAATTGAGAAAATGAGATGTGTAATGTTTTAAAAGTACATATCGCTTGCAGAGCAATGATGGTAGTTTACCCGAATTGATATTTTGTG